TTCTTTGGGCAGTTCTGGTATATTCAGTGTTCTTTGCCAGCACCATAGCCATTGAAAGATGATAGCCATTGAAAATCTTGTGGAGGCAGTTCTACCCTGAAACACACAGGGTTGCTGGGAGTCAGAATTGATATGATGGCAACTGGCTTGGTTTCTGGAGCTCTGGTGGTGCTATGGTTAAAACATTGGGCTGCTAACCAAAATGTTGGTAGTTTGAACCCACCAGCTGATCTGTGGGAGAAAGATGAGGCAGTCTGTTTCTGTAAAGATTTACAGTCTTGGGAAGCCTTTGAGGCAGTCTACTTTGTCCTATAGGGTTGCTGTGAGTCAGAATTAACTCAAAGGTAGTGGATTTGGTTTGTTTTGGGGGGCTTTGGTTTTGTTTTCATATAGATAGATAGATAGATAGATAGATAGAAAGAATAAGTTTGCTTATAGTCAGTGCTGCATCAACATTTCTTTTTTTAATTGGAGAGAAGTCAGAGCTGATTAGGGGGGAGAGGGTGGTAGAGAATAAAAAGCATAGGTTGCTGCTGGGGGTGTAGTCAGGAAGGTTTCTTAGAGGGGAGAGCATTTAAGCCAGTCTTGGAAAGATGAAAATGCCTTCCCAGGAGAGGGAGGGGACTATGTGAAAAGAGGCCCAGGATAGGACTGAGTGAGTGGGCCTGCAGTGAAGTACGGAGGGCAAGGAGAGCACACAGATACCACACGTCAGCTTGCTGTGTCTCCTGTAGCAAGCACATACTGACAGACTGGGCCTTTTACCTTCCTGACAGTTTAGCTGATACTTACTAATCAATGGTTGGGCAATCTACTTCCCATAGAGATAACCACCTCGGAAACCCAAGGAGGGGTCACTATGAGTCTGGTCTGACTCGATGGAACCTAATAACAACAACAAAAAATCAATAAAAGCAGACATAGCTATGACCCAGCAGCAGCCTGATATATCAGAGGAATGTTGGAGTTCTGGAACTGTATGTTGGGGGAGAGGAAAGGCACCATTCAGGCCAGTTTTGGAGGACACTCTGGGGGAGAGTGGATGACCACAGAGGAAGGCAGGATGGAAGCAGAGGGCTCCAAGGCTCCTTTCCCCTTAGCGTGACATTCTGAGAAACCCTGGACTTTTGTAGATTCTATAGATGGGGGCCAGCTTCTCCTCTCCATGAAACCCAAGCCAGGCCCCCATCCTCAGGCCCCTTAAGGTGGACCTTGGCCACCACCATCTATCCAGGGGACCTAGCACAACTGCTGTGTGAGTGATAAAATATGTAGGAGAGGTACATGTGGAAGCCAGACATCTGCCACACCCTGGGTCCCTCCCCTACAACTTTCCTCATAAACTCTACTTCATCCACCTTCCCCTTTTTTCATGCTTCAGTCTGGTTCCCACTTATTTCTCTGGGCCCATCTCCTTTCCCAGCCTCTGTCTTGGTCTGCGGCTCCCTACATGACATCCTTTCTCTGGGTGACCTCATTCACCCCAGGCTTCAGTCTTCAATTTAATTCCTTAGCCCTTCACTTGCCTTTCACTTTAGATAGGGCCATCATCCTGCTTCCTGGATGTCTATCTCACGCCTCACAGCCAGCATGGTGGAAACGAACTAATCCTCATCTCCCAAATCTGTTCTTTGGTCTATTTCAATAAATAGCTATCATCAACCCATCTTATGAGGGCCCTCCAACTCCTCTCTCTCATCCCTCATATTTGACCGGCTCGAAAGGAAGGTTGGGCAATCCTACTTCCGTAGTGATACTGCCTCGGAAACCCAAGGATGGGTCGCTATGAGTCGGGGCTGACTCGACGGCAAATAACACCACCACCAGGAGTTGGTCAGTTGTACCTCCTTAAAAAAAAACTCAATACTTCTTTATACACACCAAGACCAGCTGATAAATTTTAAACTATATATATTCTTAAAAAAAGAAAAACTATTGTGATTTGAGTGAAAGTTTACAATAATAACTGGTTTTCTCATTCAACAAAATTCCTACTACTGTGTTTCATATTAATTGGAATCCTCACAATGTAACAGCACTCATCCCACTTCCTCATTGTGTTTACTGTTTCTTATCTTTTCCTGGCTTCTGAGCTTTATCCTTGGGCAGAAGCTGCTCTTTTGATCTCATACAGCCGAAAGTTCTAAGAAGTGATTACCTCTTTAGTGTTACTCACCTTACACATTTGTCTGCTGCTTGGCTGAATGTTGAGCCACAGGATGAGTTCAGTTCCAGGCTTGAAGGGTGACTAAAGGCCACAATCTCGTGGGTTCCATCAGTCTCTATCAGACCAGTAAGCCTGGGCTTTTATACGATTTTCAGTTTTGTTCCACATTTTTCTCCTACTCTATCCAGGACTTCCTATTATCCCTTTCTCAGTGGTTGGTAGTGGTGTCCAGGCATAATCTACTACTTTCAGTCTTGTGGTCATGGATGCCGTGATCATGGAGTAATGGATCAGAAGCCCATTACTCCTTTGTACTATTGTTTCCATGCCTCTTTGATTTCTTCACTTTTCTTTGCTTCAGATGGAGAGAGACCAATAGTTGCACCTTAGATACTGCTCACAGGCTTTTAAGATCCCAGTCACTATTCACCTAAGTAGGATGTAGAATATTGTCTTTGTGGGCTATATTATGCTAGTTGGCCTTTCTATCTCCCAAGGCTATTGTCCTGAGTCCCCCGGCCCAGTGACTGATTCTTGAAGGTGTTTGGTATGGCTAAGAATTTTTTGTAAGTTTTCCCCTGATTGTTTTACTATATAAAAAACTCGCTGCTGTCGAGGAGATTCAACTCATAGCAACCCTTGCTTGGGTTTCCGAGGCAATATGTCTACGGAAGTAGATTGCCCAGTCTTCCTTCTGAGGAGTGCCTGGTGCTTTGAATCACCAGCTTTCTGGTTAGCAGTCAGATACCTTAGGCATGCCACCAGAGCTCCCCCATTCTACTATATATGTGGATATATTTACAGTACATACAAATTATGTAGACGTATCCTCTGCCAAACCTGTATGTGGTAATGGGAATGAATAGTCCCTACCCACACCTGTTCTGTTTCTCTGTCTGTATATCCACTCATAGATTATTGTTTGTTACTACTTATACTTATGATTGTATATGTAACAGCATTTACCTTTGTTGTTTAAAACTCTTGTGCACCTCTTCATGTCTTCTTTTGCCTTACTGATATTGTGCTGATCATCCCCTTACTGTATATAGCCTTTCCCTTCACCTAAATTAAGGAGCATTCTGGTGGCATAGTACCTAAGGCATTTGATTGCTAACCAGAAGGCTGGTGGTTCAAACCTACCAGCCACTCCTCGGAAGGAAGATTGGGCAATCTACTTCCATAGAGATACCGCCTCAGAAACCCAAGGAGGGGTTGCTGTGAGTCAAATTGACTGTACGGTAGTGTAGTGAATTTAGTTTTTTTTTTGTTTTGTTTTGGGTGGTGTAGTGCCTAAGGCATTTGACTGCTAACCAGAAAGTTGGCAGTTCAAACCCACCAGCCACTCCACGGAAGGAAGACTTGGGCAATCTACTTCCATAAAGATTTACCATCTCAGAAACCCAAAGGGGGTCACTATGAGTTGGAATTGACTCGATGGCAGTGAGTTTGGCTTTTTAGTTAGTCATTTTCCAAATTACAAAAGGACAAATACAGTATGAGTCTGCCATTATAAAAAAACCAAGGAAAGATTTACATGTACAGAAAGACATACCCATTTATTCTTGAGGTTTGTATTACTCAAACTTAGTTAACCAATTTTTCATGTACATATTGCCAAATCACTTAATTTTCAGATGTTGACCAGCTGGAGCTACTTGTTCACTTACAGTATCTCATCTACAAACTACCCCTCAAAGACTTACTAATGAATACTGACATAATGAGGGTTTTCAAGATACAGTGATTCCCCAGGTTACAAATGACGTATGGGTACCCTGTACTTGCTGTTTAATGTTAGGTGAATTTGCCTCATTCTGAACCAGTTGAACTCCTATCCCAACACATTAATCACAGTCATCTTCACTTGCTGCACATACAGCTTTTAAATAAAAAGACTTCAAGCCTTTTCTTTTCACTAAAGTAACACTGAATAAGAACAGTATGCACCTGTTCCAACTTACCTAGAAATTTGACTGAATGACACACTTAGACACTGATCTTGTTCATAACCTGAGGACCTCCTGTATAGATAAACAGAGAGTAAAGCTATTAAAATTTCTAAATACCTTAAAATCAGTGGCACTACTTAGATTCATTGCTGGATGGTGCAAATGGTTAAGTTTTTGATCACTAGCTAAAAGACTGGCAATTCAAACCTACCCAGAGGCACCTCAGAAGACAGGCTTGGCTATCTGCTTCTAAACTTGAAAACCCCATGGAACAGTTCTGCTTTGCACGTACAGCGTTGCCATGAATAAGGATCAACTCAACAGCAACTAACAATTTAAATTGAAGAACTTTCATGGTTCAAGAGTTTTATTTTTAGGGTCCTCCTGTTGACTACATATTCATTAGCAACCTTTACAGTAGTACTTCCTGAGATAGCATAGGAAATCTGTTTTCAGCTGTTCATGCGGACTACTTTGCATTCATGGGAAGAAGTAGTATAACAGGTAGCTATAAAACAGACAAAGACATATACTAATTTATAGCTCCATAACTTGTTGGCAGAAATTCATTGTGGTGTTTTTAAGATACAGACTACATATTTGGAATGTCATGTGTTACTTTAAAATACTGTTTTGCAGATATGAAGATGGTCTTTACAAGAATTGTAATACCTGGAGGGTTAGAAGCATCCACGGAACATAAGTTGATCTCCTAAAATGAGTTAAACTGGGATGATGAAAATATTTAATGAATTTGTTATACACTGTCAGACCTTCAATTTTGTATATTTTAAAATGAGCTGGTATTTTGTATAGCCCTTGTATGTATTATTTTTTCTGTTTAGTTGATAGTGATGTACTTCTTTTTGTGTATTGTTTAGCCGGATATGTGGGAGTCCATGTCCTGCAGTGTGGCCTGATGTAATCAAACTACCGTATTTCAACACCATGAAACCAAAGAAGCAGTATCGTCGAAAGTTAAGAGAAGAATTTGTTTTGTAAGAAGGGGATGTTTAAACATCCATATTGCTTTAAATGTTTTTTAAACAGCTATTGCTTGTGTCGTGCCTAAATGTTACTTTATCTGGTTATTAACCCAAAGCAGATTTAGCACAAATTTTTAGATCATTTAATTTTGAATTTCACTTTGCTTCATGCAAATTACCATTCATCATCATTGAATTAGTAATTTACATGGTGTGTTTGATTTGGTGCTTATAAGAAAGAACTTTAATGATACTGTTTTTTATTTTTTTTGCCTTAACTCATTGGGAATTTGCTCTGTCACATATCTGAAGGCCGTAAGTCTGCAATCAAGGCGTCAACAGGGCTGTGCTCCCTCTAGAAGCTATAGGGAAGATTCCTTCCTTGCCTTTTCCAGCTTCTGGTTGATACTGTTTTAAATTTTAATGAAACAGCTTTATTTTGTTTTAGAAAACACTGTTACAAAAGAAAATTGCCAATAGAGTAATAAAATATTTTTTACCCGAAGTTTAAATTATTTAGAGTAACAGCTATGAAATTATATATAATAATGAGATAGTAATCAAAGGAAAATTTGGAATATATTGGAATAAAGTATTATAAACATATTATAAAATGCCAGTATTTAAAATAAGCTCAAAAATAAACACTAAATTTATATCTAAAGAACATATATAATTTTTTCAATCTTTTCATGCTAGTATCCCTGCAGCTGCACTAGATTTGTTTGATTACATGCTCGCCTTGGATCCTAGTAAGCGCTGCACTGCCGAACAAGCTCTTCAGTGTGATTTCCTGCGAGATGTGGAACCCTCAAAAATGCCTCCACCAGAGTAAGTGACTTTTTATTATATTATATTCAGAATCTGCATAGTTTAATACCATCTTTATATAATGATCAGAAGATATTCTATGCTCAGCTAATTCAAAAGAAATAGAACAAGTCATAAGAAATAGATAAAATAGCAGTAATACACATAATTTACACATCTAGGATCTAGGTGCTTGCTTAATGTTCAGCTAACCATAAGAAAAAAGCAGCCTTCCTCTGGCTAGTTTTACAGTTAATTGATCTCAGGTTTTTCTTAATGTATTTGAACTCTAAGAAAATATTACTGCTGCTACTATTTCTAGTACAACTTATACCAATAGTATTGTTTATATTAGTACTAAAATTACTGTAGCTAAAATTCTGAGTGCTCTGCTAAGCATTCTTCATGTATTAACCTTTGTAATCTTATCAGGTAGGTATTACTATTATTATCACCATTTACAGAGGAGGAAGCAGGCTTAGAGAGGTTAAGAAACTTGCCCAGGTATACAAATCTAGTAGAAGAGTAGAGTTAGCTCTCAAATTCAAGTTACTCAAATTAGCGAATTTATGAAATACTCCTTTGCATGCTACTGATGATACTTACCATTGAATAGAAGAATGAGTATCAGAAGCCTTCATAGACTAAGTTTATTGTCTGCATAGAATTCAGGAGTCAGAATATCTAGGTTCTTGAACTTTAAACCCTTATGGCTTCTGTAGTATCTCTAAGATTGATATGGGGAAGGTGGGAAGGGAGATAGTAGTCTATCTGATTTTCCTTTACAGGGTCTAGAAACTTGGTAGGTATTTTCTTAGTAATTAAATGATGATGAGCATGAAATCAAGCCTATCACTGTAATAAACTGTTTTATATAATAAAATTAGCATATTGTAAATGAACAAACATGGGCTTTGGAGTTCAAATCCTGGCTCTTCCACTTATTAGTTACAGTGGAATTATTGTATTTCTACAAGACTGTCATATTTAGCTTCATTAAGTTTTTAATTTAAGTTTTATTGAACTATTGTGTGATGATTTGAGAGGCAGAAAGGACCTCTCTGGCTTGCTAAGAAACCTGAATCATTCACTGTTAAATTAATTGTTTAATGTTTGTTTGCTTATCATTATATATCAGCAGTCTTGAAACTTTGGCTCTAGTACCCCTTCAAAGAATTAGTAAATTTTTTTATTTTTAAAAATTTTAATCTTACAGAAAAATAGTAAGAATAGTACAGTGAGCATTCATATACCATTCACCTAGATTCAACCATTATTAGTATTTAGACATAGGCTTTATCATTTTATATAAACTTTATTTTTCTTCAACTGTTTGAATAATAAGTGCAGAAAGTGACACTTCTAAATATTTCATTATGTTTCTATAAGAAGTAATACTTCCTTTCACATAGGTACCATTATAAGAAATTTAGCACTGTAATATCTAATATTTTAGATTGCCCTATTAAGCTGGAAAATTTTTTACAGATTTTTTTTTCCTAAGATATTCATTTAAAGTTCAAAAATTGCATTTTGTTATCATGTCTGTTTAGTCTTTAATTCCTCCTTGGAAAGAACTTTTAAGATACTGACATTTTTGCAGAGTTTGTGTTAGCTGTCTTGTAAAATATTCCACAGTGTAGATTTGATTGCCTTTTCCTTTTTTTTCTCTCCTCATGTGTAATCAGAATTAGATTAATGTTTTTGACAAGAATAGTAACAAAAACCAAAACCAGACTCATTGCTGTCTAGTCCAATCCAGCTCATAGTGACTCCTCCTTGGGTTTCTGAAGCAGTATTGCTACAGAAGTAGATTGCCCAATCTTCCTTCTGAGGAGTGGCTGGTGGGTTTGAACTGCCAGCCTTTTGGTTAGCAGTCAAATGCCTTAGGCACTATGCCACCAGACCTACCTATCACATCAAGAGAAATTTAATGTCAGTTTGTCTCTTTACTGGTAAAACTAAGTTTGATTACTTGGTTCAGATGGTCCACCTGAAAGAATTCTGGTAAAGCTATGTATCTAGCATGTTTCAGTTACTAGTGGTTTTTTTTTTTTTTTTTTTTTCCAACCAAAAGTAAGTAGTTGCAAAAAAAGATGTGATTTTTAGTATATTGTAAATGTTAACATTTTAAAGTGGAGCAGTTAAATCACTCTTGTAAATGCATTCTGTGAAATCCAAATATCTTAGCATTTTGATATCCAATAGCATTCACTTAAAATATGTATGGACAAACTCTTCTTTAACAAATGGACATTATTCTGTTTTCATCTTGAACTTGCATATTGTTCCTATAGAGTTTTATTCTAATGTAATAACATTTATGTTTAAAAGTATTTTATTGATCTCTCTGCTGTAGTTTTTTAAAAGAATTAGATATAGGTAGAGAAGGAGCTCTGGTGGTGCAGTGCCTAAGGCATTTGACTGCTAACCAGAAGGCTGGTGGTTCAAACCCACCACCCACTCCTTGGAAGGAAGGTGGAGCAACCTACTTCTGTGGTGATACCGCCTCGGAAACCCAAGGAGGGGTCCCTTTGAGTCGGATCTGACTTGACGGCAGTGAGTTTTGGTTTTTTGGTTTTATAGGTAGAGAGATGGAAATTTAATTTAAAAAAATTTCTTGTAATTACAGTTTTTTACTTGATTAAAATTTTCATAGCAAATAGTAGCACTATATAGTTCAGTAAGACAAAAAGAAAGAAAAGAAAAAAAATAGTTCATTTTTGTTGGAAACACAAGTTAATGAAATAGAAGGGGCTTGAGGTTTTTTCCCCAAGTGGGTTGCATATCTAATCATTGTTTATTTTAGTTATTCTAGAATGAGACATATTTCCATATCAATTGTAATTCTATTTTTTTATTTATAAGACCCTTATAAATTAGCGTGTGAGAATAGAAGGAGCTATATTATATCATAGCTACATCATTGAGTTCTTTGAAGTCCTTCTATAAAATCACATAGTTGATTTAGCATCGGAAATTATTTTAATAACCTCTTAGATGTCAGCTTAAGATTCTTTCTCCTTTAATTTTCTTGACAATGAAGAATTGGAAACCATATGACTTGTATAAGGATTTCTTACTCAGTCATTGTTGTTGTTATGTGCTGTTGAGTCGGACCCGACTCATAGCTACCCCTCCTTGGGTTTCTGAGGCAGTATCAGTATGAAAGTAGATTGCCCAACTTTCCTTCTGAGGAGTGGCTGGTGGGTTTGAACCGCCAGCCTTCTGGTTAGCAGTCAAGTGCCTAAGCTACCAGAGACCTTTACTTTCTCAATTTTTGAGAAAATGAACCTAAAAGGATTTACTTACCAGTAATTATTAAGTGACTTCTTACAGTTATTTTTCTTTTAACAATACTTATTTATTCCCTTATACTCAGAAAAGGTAAGGAAGTCAACATAGTAATTTCAGTGCTACTTTGCCAGTCCATTTTTAAAATTAGGTGTTTTTTATTAACATACTTTTAGAATTTTTTTTGTCAAATATTAGAACTGTAGATTTCTTCTATGCAGTTGATGGAAAATGTCTTTAACCTAATAATAAATTTCTTCCCATATTGTCAAACAGATCACCTAAATCAGACTTAATTTTTATCAGAAAACACCTCACTGCATTTTTTTTTTTTCATAAAAAATAAACATGTTAATACACATTTTGAAAAACATCGTGTAAACTGGGAACAAATTATGGAATGCATGTTTATTAGAGCAGTCAGATCTAGATTATAATGATATCAATGCAATATTTTTTAAATAAAACGTTATATAAACAACATACTATAACATTACTCATTGTTTTAATATGAAAGAATGAGTAATTGAAATTTCAAGTTATCTAAGTAAAGGCTATAGAGAAAAGCATGGTATTCCTTTGGAAAATATGTACACACATCAAACTCATAATTTTTAGGAATAATCAAATGACAGTAGGGTATTAAAGCAAGAAATAACTATTCATTGTAGTAGATGTCCTTTCAAACTTTTCTAATATGCTTAATTGTAAAAAATGTATATATGCTACAGAACAGAAGAACAAATTAGACTGACAGCTACCTTATATTTTAACAGCAGTTAAAATGTATTAAGCTATTTTTAAGATGAAATATATTTAACTATGATTGAAATAAATATTTCGTGATATGATACAATAAAATAGTTTAAACTACCTTACTAATGATGATATGAACTACAAAATATGGATATTATAATGCCTACTATGTGTAAGGCATGATCTAAACATTTCATATATGTTAGCATTTATAACCTCTACCCCATGAGGTATATACAGTTGTCATTGCTATTTTTAAAGATAAGAAAACTCAGGTACATAGAGGTGACTTTCTTAATGCAACACAATTAGTGGCTGAGCCAGCATTTGAACCTTCAAAATGCACATAAAAGTTTGGTCATCGTGGAAAGCATTCCTGGTAGTCATCGACTTAGGATGAGTCATGATGAACTGCATTTATGACTGTCCATTTTTGTTTTCTTTTAACATCTTCTTATTACTAGATGTACTACATACAGTGTTGCAGCATCTGTCTGTAGGTTTCTATGTAATGTTTCCAACTCCGAAAGACAAAAATTAATAAAGATATTGATAATAAAAGGCAGTAATAATGAAATCTTAAAAAAGAAAAAAGGAAGAGGTATTCTATTTATGTCAGAACCAACTTATGATGAAGTCGTGGGAATGGGACCCTGTCATATAAGTCAGGGACTACCGGTACTTTGAAGAGTCAGCATCATTAACCTGGTTTTAGCTATGTGTTGGCTAATGTTTTTCTTTTCTAGAGATGAGTGTTGAGAACAGCCATAAAGAATCTCGCACCTCTAAGTTGTGGGAGGGAATGAAAGTTCTTTTAAGTGTATTTCTTTGATTTGTTCCCATGGGTCTCTCCCACAAGAGCAGTGCATTTCCTTGACAGTCAGTTACCTTACTCCATAGTACTGCATTATATCTGAATTCATAGGGTCCCAGCAGAGACTAAGGCAACACATCATGTAATATATAAACACACAAGGAAGGAGGAAGGAAAGTCTTTGGCAGGTTTATGATGCTTTAAGGAGGGTTCCCAATATCAATATTTCAAATTGTCCCTTTGTTTGTTACTCCAGGAGGTTTTTACACGCTGAGGCAATGCACCATAGTAAGATGGCTGAGAGGTATGCCTTTGTTTTTTTTTTTTTTTTGTTTTTGTTTTTTGTTTTTTGGACCTCAGGTGCATAGACTTGGTTTAATCATAATCCTTGTTTCACTCATCATCGGTCCATGCATGGCTCTCTCTTATTTATTTTAGTTACTTAATTTAATTAGTTATTTTTAGTGATGTTAATAAGCAGCCATGAACCCACCACGCCCCAACAAAAGCTAGAACCTTGAAAATAACTTACTTGGATCATATCATACCCTTTCTCTCCACCGACCCATCCCCTTGCCTTCCTCTACCTGAGGTAACCGTCATCCCTTGTTTTCTTTGTATATACTTTTGTTGCCATCTATATGTACTCATAAGAAGTTATATTTTATCTTAGTTTTTAATTTCATAAAAGCGTGTCATTCTGTTTGTAATCTTTCGGGAATTACCTTTTTACTTAATATTAAATTATATTGCTAAGATTCAACCATATTGTTGCATATGCCTTTATTTGATAAAATAAGGAAAGAGTAATTGTGAAAGAGGAGGTGTGAAAAGAAGAACCTGCTTGAACATGCAGGCCATTCTTAAAGATCAGTTTTAAGAAATGACACATGGATATGGAAATGAATTCCCTTAAAACAATTTCTGTCAGGTGTGTCCCCTTGGAAAGTCTTCATGTATCCCTGGAGGTAAAGATATCCCGGTTTGAAGACTGCAGATATATATCACCAGTTTGGGGCTGCTTAAGGGAATTTGTAGATATTCTGGGCAAGTTTATTAACCTTTTCCAAGCCTCAATTTTGTCATCTTTAAAAGAGATATGATAGTAACTTTCCATTGTTTTTTTATTAGAGTAAGAAAAGCCATTTATAAGTTAACATTCTTCAGTGTTGTTAGCTTTATGAAATTATATTAAGGTAAAATTATATCAGTATTGTGGCCTATTCTAATAGTAGGTAGTTACTCAGAATTCCTTATTGATAAGCTTCTTTGTGCCTGGATTATTTACTTAAAAACTCATTTGTGGCATCAGTTTAATTGTAGAGCATTTGATTGTAGAAGCAAATTAAGCGAGTACTAAAAAGAAGCTTTGACTAGAAAGTTTTTCACAAATGTTACGTTCTATAGTTTTTACTACTTTTTATCCTGTGTTTAGCTTCTGCAAATGGCAAATTATTTTGCCTTCTTTTTTTATTCAAAGTATGATGTACTGTGAAGAACGGCTCTAAAAGGTTGCACAAAGGATAATTAGTAACCTGCTTTTATGAATGTATAGTCTTCATTCAAAGTTTTAATAAATGATTATTCAGAAGGCAAAAAAAAAAAAAAATTAGTTTTGCTATAAATAAGGGTGAAGCCCTGGAAGGAGAGAGCAGGGCATGCATCATGGATGATTTTTATTACAGGAGTTTAACAAACCCTAAGCATGAAGTTTCAAGACAACCTTTTTTTTTTTTTTTTTTTTGCCTTTGGTTCTATGTAGTAAACATTAGCATTTTTGTTTTTTGTTGTGAGATGCCACTCAGAATCTAACACTTAGGTTTTTTCTTTCAGTCTTCCTTTATGGCAGGATTGTCATGAATTATGGAGTAAGAAGCGAAGAAGACAGAAGCAGATGGGCATGAGTGACGATGTTTCTACAATTAAAGCTCCTAGGAAGGACTTGTCTCTGGGGTTGGATGACAGTAGAACCAGCACACCCCAGGGTGTGCCACCATCTTCACAGCTGAAGTCTCAGGGCAACTCAAGTATAGCACCTGGTTAGTAGTCATTCTTGTTTCTTTCATGTTGCTTTGTGTTTAGTGTTGATTATATTGCTCTGTTGTGAAATTATCTCAGGGCTAAAAGATAAAATTAAGGTCTGTTCACTAATAAGGTTGACAGTTCCTTGTTAATTTGTGGCAGTGTAGAGATTTAATTGCTACTGCCACAACAATTTTAAGCAATCTCAAGGTAAGAAGATATAAGTTATTACATTGGTGATTGGTCAGATTACTCTAGTTGACCATCTTCAACCTTGAGTTAGAATCAGTAGGACTTTTACTACCCCTATATTTTCAGTGAGGCTCAGCATTCAGGATCTGTGGATGCTAAAGGAGATTATAATGGTGGAACAAAGGTGTAGGAGAGATGGCCAAAATTGTAGTGAGAGCTCTCTCATGCCATTTGTAATGTCTGGTTAGTTTTTGGCATTATACTTCTACTCTGATCCAATTCTGTCATAAGATTAAACTTCTTCACAAGACTCAGACAGCCTTCTAAATGTTGTCATATTTACCATTTCATTTAATACACAACTAATTTTTTAAAATGGGACCCACTCTTTGATTTTGCCTCAAGAATCTGGAAAACATTCAGCATTACTTTTAGTTTTTTTGTGAAGATAGACTGATAGAGGGATCCAAAGAGAGAGAGAGAGAGAGAGGAAGAAAGTAAGAAAGTGAGTAGTGGCTGGTTTAACTAAACATGAAAAAATAGTTCAGCGTTATTAAGAGATAAGTAAAGATTGATTGATTGGCTGGGTGATTAAAAAATTCTTTGGATCAAATTGAACTTTAGATGGTTAATATATAAGCTGAGAAAGCTTGAGAAAAATTACTATTATAACTTTTCCGTGTAATCTACAAGTTTACATTTGACCTTGGTCAGACTCTTAAAGTACTGATATATTTCACTTGAAAAACCAAAAGCAATTGTTACTTCTTGTTCAAAAATATTCTTCACAGTTTCTTGAAATAGTGAATTATTCTTGTATATAAAGATATTTGATACACACAATAACTTTGGAGAACACATCTGTTGCAGAAAATGAGGGTTATTTATATCAAGTTCACTATTATTTCTCTTCATCTTAAAAATATGTAAAATCTGGAGACAAGCAGAAGAGAAGCCACAGTAAGTTTTTAAATTTATTTTACATGTTTTATATACCATCTGCTGCTTAAAAATTACAGCCAAGAAAACCCAGTGGGGAAGTTCCACTCTGTTACATGGGGTCACTAGGAGTTGGAGTCGACTCATTGGCACTCCACAACAACTACTATAAAAGGATTTGAGATGAAAGTAACAGGAAGTTTGGATAGTGGTCAGTTGTCCCTGGGGACAGTTGTCAGATTCTTTAACAAGATTAGCATGTCTTTATTTCTGTCCTTAAACTGATATTCTTATTTCACTAGCAAATCTAGCAGGTAGTTATTTCACTCTTATTTTAGCTGGGAAAAAATGAATTGTTCTTTATGGGTTCATTTTATTTTTGTCACATAGTTCTAACTTATATTACAACACTATTAATGGGGGAAAGTTTTGTTTTGCTTTTCATCCTTTCTCCTGCTCATCTTTTCTTTTAAACTATGTCTACTGAGAAGTAAGAATTCTGTTTTTTTTTAGGACAGGGATGGATCCTTTCTTGCTCTGTTTGCTTCTGCTTTCTTTAAAAATGGAAGATTTTTACCAGCTTCTGCAGTCTGAAATTGACCAAATGTGCACTCAAGATGTGTTATCACTGGTGGAATACAAAAGTTGGAAATAAGCATCACCAATAGTTGGAAAATAATAGCCTTGGTGATAGAAATGATGCTGGAGATCACATGATAGAATTTTGCAAGACTAATGACTTACTCATTGCAAATACCTTTTTTTCAACAACACAAAGGTCCACTATACACAAAGACTTTGCCAGATGGAGTACACAGGAATCATATTGACTATATCTGTGGCAAGAGGTGATGGAGAAGCTCAATATATTCAGCCAAAACAAGGCCAGGAGCTGATTGTGGAACAGACAATCAACTGCTCATATGCAAGTTCAACTTGAAGTTGAAGACAATTAAAACAAGTCCATGAGAGCCAAACTATGACCTTGATTATATCCTTCATGAATTTAGAGACCATCTAAAGAATAGATTTGATGCATTGAACATCAGTGACCAAAAACCAGAAAATTGTTCGATGAATCAATTACATCATCCATGAAAAAAGCAGAAGATCATTAAAAAGACAAGAAAGGAAGAAAAGACCAAAATGGATGTCAGAAGAGATTCTGAAACTTGCTCTTGAATGGAAAGTAGCTAAAGCAAATGGAAGAATCAACAGGATATAAGAGCTAAACAGAAGATATCTAAGAGCAGCTCGAGAAGACAAAGTCAGTTATTATAATGAAATGTGCAGAGAGTTGGAGTTAGAAAACCAAAAGGGGAAGAACACGCTCGGCATTTCTCAAGCTGAAAGAACTGAGGAAAATATTTAAGCCTTGAATTGCAGTATTAAAAGATTCCTTGGGCAATATGTTGAATAATTCAGAAAACATCAAAAGAAAAGAACTGGTAGATGCTTATCCATTTCAGGAGGTGGCATATGATCAAGAACCAATGGTATTGAAGGGAGAAGTCAAAGCTGCACTGAAGGAATGGGTGAAAAACAAGGTTTCAGGAATTGACAGAATACCCATTGAGATGTTTCAACAAACAGATGATGTGCTGGAGGCTATGCCAAGAGATTTGGAAGACAGCTATCTGGCTAACTGACTGGAAGAGATCCATATTTGTACCCATTCCGAAGAAAGGTGATCCCACTGAATGTGGAAATTATGAACAATATCATTGATATCACACGCAAGTAAAATCTTACTGAAGATAATTCAAAAATGGTTGCAGCAGTATATTGACAGAGAACTTCCAGAAATGCAAGCTGGATTCAGAAGGGGATGTAGAGTGAGGGATATCATAGCTGATGATACATGACTCTCGGCTCAAAGGAAAGAATACCAGAAAGATGTTTACTTGTGTTTTATTGACTGTGCAAAGGCATTTAATTGTGTGGAACATAACAAATTGTGGATGACATTGAGAAGAATGGCAATTTCAGAACACTTAATTGTACTTATGAGGAACCTGTACATAGACTAGGAGGCTGTCATTTGAACAGAACAAGGAGTACTGCATGATTTAAAATCAGGAAGGGTGTGTGTCATGGTTTTAGCCTTTCACCATACTTACTCAGTCTGTATGCTGAGCAAATAATCCAAGAAGCTGGACTATATGAAGAATGTGGTATCAGGATTGGAGGAAGTCTCATTAAAACAACCTGAGATACACAGATGACACAACTTTGCTTGCTAAAAGTGAGGATGACTTGAAGTACTTACTGACGAAGATTAAAGACTACAGTCTGCAGTATAGATTACACATCAATATAAAGAAAACAAAAATCCCCACAACTGGTGGAATTGGAAATAACATTTGACCTAGCCATTCCATTACTAGGTATATACCCTAAGGAAGTGAGAGCCAGGACAAGAATAGACATATGCACACCCATATTCATCACAGCACTATTTACAATAGCCAAAAGATGGAAACAACCTAGGTGTCCATCAACTGAGGAATGGTTAACCAAACTTTGGTACATATACACAATGGAATACTATGCAGCCCTAAAGAATAACCTAGAATCTGCAAAACACCGCATAATGTGGATGAACTTAGAGGACATTATGCTGAGGGAAATAAATCCAATCACAGAAGGACAAATACTGTATTAGTCCATTATTGTAAAGTCAAGGAAAGGTTTATATATGGAAGGAATTTTCTTTGTTGGTTACAAGGGGTGGGAGGGGAGGGAAGGGAACACTGTTAGATAGGTATAGATAAGTATTGATTTGAGAGATAAGTATTGATTTAGGTGAAGAGAAGGGCAGTGTACCAAATGTGAGTGATCAGCATGGTGGCACTGAGGAAGAGGAACACATAGAGAGGTACATGGGAAGTACAGACAACAAAGATGAACCCTTTTGCACATATAGTACTGCGTTTTCAGTGAAGGCAAACATGGTTATACAGGGGGATAGATGGGTCGACAGGCTGAATTATTAGGTATGTCTGTGCAGGGGGGAGTATGCCCAAGTCTATGTATAGGGTTGGCAGACAATGTTTCTGTAAGTGTACTTGTATGTTCTGTAAGAATTCCCAGTTGTATAGTAGAGCTGATAAGGGGCAAGGTTTTAGTTGCTTGTTGGCCACAGCCAGCTACCCAGAGGGAGTGAGTAGTTGAACCTCGCAGGGAACATCAAACTCAGTTGGCATACCACACTATACAAAACATTGTTCCACTTCCTGGTGAGTAGCGACTAGGATCTTAAAAGCTTGCAAGTGGACATCTAGATGTGACGATGGGTCTCTCCTTGTCCAGAGCAAAGAATAAAGAAAACCAAAGATTCATGGAAACGGTTAGTCCAAGTGACTGGTATACCATGTGATCCTCAGTGTATATGACTTTGAGACTAGATGGTGCCTGCTACCACTGTCAACCATTCAGAGGGGGATCTATGTAGGAGATCCTGGATAGAGAAGGAGAAAAATGTAGAACAAAACTCAAAATCATTTGGGGAAAAAAAAAGGAGCAGGTTTGCTGATCTGATAGCGCCTGGTGGAGCCACTGAGACTATGGCCCCTAGCTGCCCTTCAGGTCTGGAATTGAACCCAAACCTTTGGCTTCCAGCCAAACAAAAGGCAGGCATATGAGGTGAACATTTTCACTAAGTAGATTCACTCCTTGGAAAGAACAATCATGGGAGAATAGAAGGTCTGTGTATGCACAGGGACACAGCTCAGGAGGCAAGTGTATATGGAGGGAAGGACACAGGAAAGAGGTAACTATGGAGAAGAAGTGGGAGGGGAGCTGTTGCATTGTGGTAAACTGTAATTAGTGTCATGAGACAGTGTATGTGAATTGCTGTATGGAAAGTGAATTTGCTCTGTAAATTTTCACCCAAATCACACACACCACAAAGAAATTCTCACAACTGGACCAATAAGCAGCGTTATGAAGATGGAGAAAAGATTGAAGTTTTCAAATACTTTGTATTACTTGTTTCCACAATTAATGCCAATGGAAGCAGCATTCAAGACATCAAAAGACGTGTATTGTATTGGGAAAATATGTTGTGAAAGACCTCTTTCAAGTGCTGAAGAGTAGAGATATCTCCTTGAAGACTAAGATGCGCCGAAACCAAGCCATGGTATTTTCAGTCGCCTGCATGTGAGAGCTGGACAATGAATAAGGAAGACGAGAAAAGAGTAGATGCTTTTGAGTTGTGGTGTTGGTGAAGAATATTGAAAGTACCATGGACTCTAAAAGAACTAACAAATCTGCCCTGGAAGAACTGCAGCCAGAATGCTCCTTGGAAGCGAGAATGGCCAGACTTTGTCTCACTTATTTTGGTCATGTTGTCAGAAGGGGCCATTCTCTGGAGAAGGATGTTATGCTTGGTAAAGTGGAGGGTCAACAAAAGAGAAGGCCCTCAACAAGATTGATTGACACAGTGGCTGCAGTAGTGGGTGCATGTATAGTAGGGATTGTGAGGCTAGCATGGGATTGGTTAGTGTTTCATTCTATTATATATAAGGTTGCTATGAGTCGGAGATGATGACTTAATGGCATATAACAATGACAACAAACAAAATCATCAGTGTCCTGAAATAAGAAAATGCCCCCTGTGGAGAAGAGATGCCTTAGATGCAGAGTACTTCCTAGTGTTCCCACAGAGATAACTCTTCTAATGAAGAAGTGAAAAGTGAGGAAAAATGGACAGTGGGTGTAGCAAACCAGCAGGGTTGCTAATGAATGCCTGTGGTCTTTAAGAACATTTCAGAACTTTGTTTTGAATTGCTCTAAGTACAATATTAAGAAGTAATGTGTCTCAAAAAGTATCTCAAAGTAGATGAAAAGAGAATATAAAAATACAGCATTAATTACCAGTTTTTCATTTCCTTCGAGTTTTTCTTCTGTTGATCTGTCATCTGTGGCTATGGGAATTGCTATTCAGTGTTTGTTTTATTATGTAAGGTATATGGTGGTGTACATATTCATGCTTTGTTATATATGATTCTAGTGATCTTGCACAGGAACCCATTTAAACTTTAACATCACAACTTTGTAGTGAAAGTTAGAAAAACTGAGTTGCTTTTACTGGTGATGAGTTAATACCTACATATATGCAATTTGCTAATTAAGAATGCTTCTGTAGGAGTTGTAACTTACTCAAGGTGACTTAACTTAAAATAATAGTAATTTGAATTTTAAAAAAGACATGTTATCAGGGAGTCTGCTACATCCTAGTATGAATTTACTGCAAAGATTAAGTTCTTAGATAATAAGCTTTATTTTAGAGAAGGATTACAGCATAGTGTTAAAAGCCCAAACTCAAGTTGGAATATCTGGGCTCAAAACTCACCTTTGCTACTTACAGAGGCTGTGACTGTGGGCAGTTTTTAGTCTCTCTGGCTGTCAATTTCTTCTTCAGTAAAATGAAGTTAATAATAGAGCCTTCCTTATAAGATTATAAGAAATAAAGGATGTAAAATGCATAGAAAGTACCTGAGTAGATATCAGCATCTTTCATTTCCCTTTCATAGGTGGTATTTCTTGGTTAAATCTGTAGCATGGTGTTCTCATAGGAGTCATGATTTTAATTTTGAAGTATTTACCCTTAAGGATAACTTACTTAAAATTGACCGTGATTCTTTTTGTTTTAATCTGTGCACATTATTGCTAAAATGTACATTAAATTGAACTAGACTGAGGTTCCTTTTTCATAGTATGTTTTAAATACCTTACTTCAAATGTACATCTTAATATGGTAATAATAGAGCCTTCAGGGGAGTGGGTATGTAAGTTATGGCAATTTTAATTAATACAGATTTTGTCTTTAGTAAAAACAGGCCCTGGACAGCAGTTAAACCACAGTGAATTGGCAATTCTACTAAACCTACTACAATCTAAAACAAGTGTTAATATGGCTGATTTTGTCCAACTGTTGAACAGTAAGGTAAACTCTGAGACTCAACAGCAGCTAAATAAAATAAACCTTCCTGCTGGAATTTTGGCAACAGGTGAAAAACAGACAGATCCATCAACACCACAACAGGAGTCTTCGAAACCATTGGGAGGAATTCAGCCGCCTTCTCAGACGGTCCAGCCTAAAGTGGAGACTGATGCTGCCCAGGCGGCTGTGCAGAGTGCGTTTGCAGTTTTGTTGACACAGTTAATAAAGGCTCAGCAGTCAAAGCAAAAAGACATGCTACTGGAAGAGCGAGAAAATGGATCAGGACACGAAACATCATTACAACTCAGGCCACCTCCAGAACCCAGCACTCCAGTATTGGGTGAGTGTTTAGATATACCAGGCCACTACAAAAGCTGTGTTAAATCCACTTTCTTTTTTTTATTATGTGCAATGCATATTGTTTAGTGGCTTGCTAGGAGTTGTCCTGAAAATTCTGAGGTCAGTGGTTATAGTTGATTTATTCCCAGTAATTTATTTTTCAATAAATTATCCATGTGTGATATAACTCAATATAAGTGCTTTAGAGTTTTCTCAGGTAAGCATGTGCTTAAGAAATAACCTTTTACTCTCTATATAAAAGGATGATTGACCATGTCAGAAACTTTATATATGCAGTAGCTTTTGTTCCTCAAATAATAAATAAATGTGTGGTAACTTTGAAAAGCCAAATACAATGAAAAGAAAAAAATTTCAGTCACCATAGACTTAAATGATGGTAAGTAGCATCTGTACTTGTAAAAACTCTTTTCATTTAATGTTGTGTCAGAGATGGCGCATCCAGTAATCTTTAGGACCTCTCATAGGAGACATAGACTACTTTGAATATTTAGTTTTTCCTGATAACTTTTGACTCTGTTTTTTGGTTTGTTTCAATTAGGGCAAGATGATCTCATTCAGCACCAAGATGTGAGAATATTGGAGCTAACACCAGAACCAGACCGGCCTCGGATTCTGCCTCCCGATCAACGACCACCTGAACCCCCTGAACCACCACCAGTCACTGATGAAGATCTGGATTATCGGACAGAAAACCAGCATGTACCCACTACTAGTTCTTCGTTAACTGACCCTCATGCTGGAGTGAAAGCAGCCTTGTTACAGCTACTTACTCAGCATCAGCCCCAGGATGAGCCCAAAAGAGAAGGTGGTATTGATTATCAAGCAGGAGACACTTACGTACCCACTGCAGACTACAAAGACAATTTTGGATCCTCTTCTTTCTCTTCTGCTCCTTATGTGAGTAATGATGGTCTAGGAGGTAGTTCTGCTCCATCATTGGAACGACGTAGCTTCATTGGAAACTCAGATATTCAGTCTTTGGATAACTACAGTACTGCTTCATCTCATTCTGCTGGTCCACCTCAGCCTTCTGCCTTTTCCGAGTCATTTCCCAGCTCAGTAGCTGGATATGGAGACATTTACCTCAATACTGGTCACATGTTGTTCAGTGGAGATAAGGACCATAGATTTGAATATAGCCATGGCCCTATTGCAGTCCTGGCAAACAGCAGTGACCCTTCCACAGGGCCAGAGAGTACTCATCCTTTGCCAGCAAAGATACACAACTATAACTATGGTGGTAACTTACAGGAAAACCCAGGTGGCCCCAGCCTCATGCATGGACAGACCTGGACTTCTCCTGCCCAAGGACCTGGATATTCACAAGGATACAGGGGACACATTAGCACATCAACTGGCAGGGGTCGAGGCAGAGGGTTACCATACTGAATATCTGTTTTTCCTCAGGCACATCATTTTTATCTGGAAAGACTTTTCTAGCTGCAGTTTAAGGCAGCAATCCAAGAGACTTGAATAATATTAATTCAACAACAGCTTTATTTTTATGTGGAAAGGGTCTTGCATACAATAGTAAAAAAAACAAAACAAACAAAAAAAAAACCTTTGCTTAAATTCATGCTGTTCTAAAAACTAGATCTATTGATTGTACATCTTCACAAATTCTAGTTAACAATTTTATTTTGTATTTTCGCAGTTTTAAGTGGATGCTAATTTTAGGGACATAAGTCTTTTATGACCCTCTTGCAGATCTGAACTATGCACATTTGTGCTTTTTTTGTAAGTTTGGACCAACTTTTATGTAACAAACAAACACCCCTCCCCCTAGTTTTACAACAATCAGAAAGGGCACTGATTTATTTGGTATTTTTCTTTTTACAAAGCTACCTTTAGTCAAAGGTCACTGTCTTTGCACCTGCTTTCAGTGTTATTGTGAAAGGTGTACTTTGTGCTCATTTCAGAAAATAAAACACAACCTTTCTCTTGATGCAACAGTTTTATAAAAAGAAATGGTCAACATTATTTTTGTTTTGTTTTGCAGATTATCACAGCCTAGCAGTTGCATTCAAATGAAATAGTGGGTTTTATATGAATAACATGGGTAGGGTGGGGAGGGGAAGTAAGTGCCTTAACAGGTAAACGTAAGGTCTGAAAAAGCAGTTAACTGCTACACTCATTTGTCTTTTAAATGGAATAAATCAATGCATTATAGCAGAGAGACAGAAAGCCCTCAGGTTTTCCAGGGCTACCTGTTGAGTTCCTGGTAGGTTCATTCCCTCTGCCTGTCACACCTTCTCCTTTTTTCCCTGTGTTTGTGCTATGTTACTTTTCACTAACACCTTCTCTTGAAAGAGGAGTGAAAGCAAAGAAAGGAAGTAGAACTCCAACCAATATCTTTTGTTACCTGTGAGAAGTTCTGAGGAGTTTGTCATTTAAATTGTTGAAAATAATAGCAGGTGGAGGAGAATTTCAGAGTACCCTTTTCATTCAGGCTGCTATTATTGTCCCTGCTTGCATTTGCCATGAATAATTGGAGGTCAGTAGTATAGAAGCAAGGGTTAGTAAGAGTTTGCATAATTCTATTAAAGTTCAAGGGGGGAGGGGTGGCAAAAGCCATATTTTAAAATACATTATTGCCATGTTAAGGAAAAGTCAACTCACTAGAAACATCACCTAGATTGAATTTATTGAAGCAAAAGAAAAAATACTGAGAGAACCTCTTATTTCCCTTCCTCTCATCTTATGTAAGATTTCTTATGACTTATGCCAGACTTTTAGAGCAATTTTGGTTCATTTTAAAATGTTTCTTTTTTATTACAAGCAGCAAAGAATGGTGGGTTAGCCCTTATTTATACTGCAATAGTGTCAAGTCTTAACTATCTTCGCACATTCATACACACAAAATTAGAACAAGTACAGGAAGGAACCAAAGGTAAATAACCAGTGTTTCCATTATCACTAATGTAAAAATAGACTATGGAAATTAGATTTGTGCCAATTAACCATTTTGTTTTAACTATTCTCCTGGTAAATTACTTTTTTGATTGAGTCTTAAATTGGAACAGCTATTATATTATTACTAAATTACTCCAGTTCTGAAGACACTCTCTTAATCCTGTGCCCTCTATCTGACTTATAAACCTTCATTTCAGAACAGTCTCTGAGGAGCATTATAGTTTGTTGACAGAGTATTTTAAAGTGGATCATTTACCATTTTGGTATGATAAATCAGTTGATACCAGTTGACAATTTTATTTTTTGATGGACTTTTTTTTGTTGTTGGGGAGGAAGAAATGAATGGAAGAAAATATTTTGCTTTTGTTTGAATTGAGTAGTAACAACTTACAATTAATTACTATTTTTCAGGAAGTGAAGAAAAATTTTTTTGAAATTTAGCAAAAATAGCTACAGTATTCAAGTATCTGAAATTTTAATATGGTGAGTCTTAGAGCTGTAGACTTTCCATTAAGTGACAGTATCTAAATTACTCTTAATAGTCACACTAGATAATTCTGCTGACCATAAGCAGCTAAAAGTGAAGATATTTATGTGACATGAATAGCCTGTGTTTTAAAAATTAAATATTTTGTATAAAATTGAATTGTGTTTGGATAGTTTTTCTAATTAAACATTTTAGTTATATATTTATGGTGGGAGAGTGGCTGGGAGGACAGGGAAATTATTGCTTGAAATTGGAAATGTATACTTCTAATAGTATCCTAGGACAGCATTGACTGAGAATCATCACAGTATTTATGTATACCTTAGAAAGAAAAAAAAGTTCCCAATTAAATTATAACACAATGATGAGATGCCATCAACTATAAGATATATCCCAATTTCAGAAATACTATTTTATGAAAGAATGTATCTTATAAATTAGTGAGTAATAATAAAATATCAATGATCTTTCTGTAGCATTTAATACATTAGTTTAGTGGATTTGGATTAAAACAAAAAAAGATAAAGGTTGAGAAATCACTAATTTTATAGATTATAACAGCTTCAGTAATTTCTGAATATTCTGAAAACTAAGAATATAAAATACTTGTTAAATTTTGGGGGAAGAAACAGGTAAGTCATTGCAAATAAGATGAAAATTGAAAAAACTTGACCTACCAAGAAAGGAAAATGTCTTCTCTCATGTCAGATTTCATTTTGAAGAGTGTATTTTCTGACACAAGTTTTCTGCATGCAACTCAGTATGTTTTCCAAATCTTCAATCTGTTATTTGTTGGATAGTTGCAGTGATTCATGAAGTTTTAAAAGGCTCAGTTTATGGGGGTAATTGAATAAAATGGATTATGGAGTATGAATTAAGCTAATACTTACTTTATCTGTGAGTCAGACCTTCATTTGGTCAGTTAATATGTATTCAGTACCTACCATGTGCCAAGTACTGTTCTAGTACTGGTCATTTATCAGTAAGCATGAAGGTGTTAAATCATGAATGTCTAGCTGACAAGCAAACACAAAGATTTAAGAAGTGTTAAGCTAGTGGTATTTGTTACTCTCACCTGTATTTAAATAACACTCAATTGTAAGAAATGAAAATTTGAGTGTCTTTGTGAAATGTGAAGGTTGAAATTTTTATAGAAAATAAGGTTCTGGAAAGAAATTGAGCAACAGAAAGCTCAACAGTGAAAACAATTTTAAGTTGCATGTGGCTAGTTTGCAGTAGCCCAAATCGGTAGAAAATAGTAAGATTTCTTTAAAAGATGGAAAGTGAGTGGGTCAGTGTTTCCAAAAATGAATCAAGTACTTCTGAATAAAAGTTCTGCTGTATTAACTATGAATTTAATTGAATTTTGGATAATTTTTCACCCTAAGGTGTGTTTTTTTTTTTTTTTTTTTAAGTAATACTGAAATACAAGTCTTGAATAAGCATCTACTAATTCCTTCTTCCTTGGTTTTTATACTGGTTTTGAAAGACTGAACAGCATGTCCCAATAATCTAAAATTATCAATGCTCTCATTTTATAGGAGCTCTGGTAGCATAGTGCCTAAGGCACTTACTTGACTGCTAACCAGAAGGCTGGCGTTTCAAACCCACCAGCCACTCCTCAGAAGGAAGATGGGACAATCTACTTCCCTAGTGATACTGCCTCGGAAACCCAAGGAGGCGTCCCTGAGTCAGGTCCGACTTGACAGCACATAACAACAACAACAATAACAACAACAACTCATTTTATAGTTACTGAGGTTTAGAGAGATCGATTGCCAGAACCCTTTCTTCCGTCCCAGACCAGCACTTAGTCTGCTAAGCCATAAACCATAACTAAATTCTGCATAAAAATGTTCTAAGGAAAACTGCCTGTTAAAACAGTGTTTATAATAAAAGAATAGAATTAAATTTAGAATACTTGATTGATACTTTAACATAGATGGCTTTGAAAGTCAGCTTAAGAAAAAAGACTTTCCTGTGATTCAGGAAAATGAAGCAAAATTTTAGAAAATTTAGGAAGAACTTTGAAAGACTTTCATATATGCATAGTCCTCACAAGGGCAAGTTCCTGTGTTTTTTTCCTCAAAGGACAACAATTAGTATCAGATTAAATTATTAAAATACATTTTTTTCTTTGTAGGAGGAAGATTGGGTATCAGCAGGCATTCAAATATAATTTGCTTTTAAATTCAAGGTTTTATAATTTGAAAGCAATGGTTTGTCATTTATCAACAGTCTCTTCAGATAGTTTCTTAAATTGTTTATTGTTTTCTTAAGCTATTAAACAGAGTAGTAGCTTGTATTATGGAATCCAGTAGAAGATGGAAAAAAAGGAAAATTTTTATTATAGCTGGGGGACTGGGTTTAAAAAAATTTGGCTTTTGCATTATGTAAATTGGCAAATTTTGTGGGTTTTACTCCTTTCACCGTAATAAATGTCCCATTAAAAAAGATTTTCCTAGTTCTAATAGCATTCATAATGAAGCTCTTTAGTGAATAGAGTCACCCTTTAAATTTTTTCACATTTACATTCATTTGTAAAAGGTATGAGTAATTTTTTGTGAGGACTTATAGTACTAAAAGTCTTGTTACTGTTAAATCTAATGTGTTAATATTTTTTAAAGGCTGTATTTGATAGTTTGTAAATAAACTGCCATAAAAATCCCAGTCTATTTTTTTCCTTATTTTCTTTTTGTTTATAGCCACAAAAGACGCTTAAAAATGATTTCATCTGATAAAGATGACTGCTTGAAATCCATTGTCATGATTTATTGATAGAACTTAAAACCTGCAGTCCTTCACCCTCCCTTTTTTTATATTTATACATAGTCAAAATTGTAGGAGCACAGAGAATAACATGTAGGGATAACCATCATTAATTTTTTGTTTGTGATGGATGTATATAAATGCATATGTAATTTTTTTCTTTAAACAGTGGATTATACTGCCCATAGCTTTAAAATTTGACTTTTTTCATTTAATGTTGTGAACATTTTTCTGTGTCAATTAATTAAATTCTACCCTTTTTAAGAGTTGTAAATTATTTATAGAAGAACCTTAATATAACAATTCTTTATTGTTGGAATAAACTATTTCTATGTGTTAAAAATACCAATGTGACTAAAATCCACATAAATACATATAAACTTATTTCCTTGGACTTGGTGGTTAAAGAGTACATGTTTAAAACTTTGGCTATATCCACATTGCCCTCCAGGAAACATTTACAAGCTTTAATTTAGTTTATGCTGGGTATTCAGAAAGTTTTAAGTCTTTGATTGTTTGAAAGGTGATAAAATCATCTTGTTTTAATCTGTACTCTTTAATTACTAGTGAAATTCAACATTTTTTCCTGTTAGCCATGTGTCCCTTTTTAACTGTTCATATATTTATTGTTTTATCTCTTGCCTAGAAGTGCTCTGTATGTAAGAAAGTTAGCTCTTTGTGAACAATATAAAAAATATTGTCTTACGTGTTTTGACACAGGAACACTTAAAATGTTGTAAGTCATCAGGTCTGTTAATCTTTTCCTTATCATTTCTCCTTAGAAAAGCTTTCTCTACCCCAAGATTATTAAAATATTCACACAATTTTATTTTACTTCTTTTCTCTCTACTTTCACAATTTATTCAAAACCATTCTTGACTTTATTTTGTTACATGTTGTAAAGTAAGGATCCAACTTTACATTTTTCCAAGTGGCTATACTAAATATAGCTCTGGTAGCTTAGTGCCTAAGGCACTTGACTGCTAACCAGAAGGCTGGCGGTTCAAACCCACCAACCACTCCTCGGAAGGAAGATGGGTCAGTCCACTTCCGTAGTGATACTGCCTCGGAAACCCAAGGAAGGGTCGCTATGAGTCGGGAACGACTCGATGGCACATAACGACAACATACTAAATATGTATAACAATTCATCCATTCCTCATTAGGTTTAAAATACCAGCAGTTGTGTTTATTTCTGGGTTTTCTGTTATGTTCCACTCTGATTTTTCTGTTCTGGTCACAGGCATTACATTATACATCTGGTATCACAGGCTTTTTGTATTTTTTTTGTTGTTAGGTGCCGTTGAGTTGTCTCCGACTCATAGTGACTTTATACAACAGAATGAAACACTGCCTAGTCCTGTGCCAGCCTCACAATACTTGATATACCTGAGCTCATCTTTGCAGCCGCTGTGTCAATCCATCTTGTTGAGGGCCTTCCCCTTTTTCATTGACCCTCCATTTAACCAAGCATATCATTCTCCAGAGAATGGTCCTTTCTGACATGACCAAAGTAGGTGAGATGAAGTCTGGCCATGCTCGCATCCAAGAAGCATTCCAGCTGCCCTTCTTCCAGGACGGATTATTAGTTCTTTTAGCAGTCCCTGGTATTTGCAATATTCTCCATTTTCAATGCCTAGAATAATGTCTAGCACATTGCAGATAAGAAATACTTGTTGTAGAACATAATCTAAATTCTCCCTTTTTCAAACTTATGTTTTTTATACCTGCCTGTTTTTCCAAGTGAATTTCAGAGTAATTTTGATCACTTTGGGAGCTCTGGTGGCAAAGGCATTTGACTGCTAACCAGAAGGTTGGCAGTTCAAACCCACCAGCCAGTCCTCAGAAGGAAGACTGGGCATTCTACTTCTGTAGGTACCGCCTCGGGAACCCAAGGAGGGGTTGCTATGTGTTGTAACCGACTCGATGGCTGTGAGTTTGGGTTTGTTGTTTGTTTTTTTGATCACTTTCCCCAAGTATCCTCTTTAAGATTTTAATTGAAACCACATAAAATGTTTAAATTTACTTGAGTTTTCCCATTGAAAGCATAGTAGGATTTATTTTTCATGTTCCTTATTAAAAGTTTTTTTTACTACAGTTCATATAAGGAGGCCTGGTGGCTCAGTGGTTAAGCACTTAATGTTGCTAAACAAAAGGTCTGCAGTTAGCAACCCTGCAAGGGAAAAAGACCTGGCAATGTGCTCCCATAAAGATTACAACCTAGGAAACCCTATAGGGCAATTCTACTCTATCCTATAGGGTCAGTATGAGACAGCACACAATTACAACATAGTTCACATACTTTTTTTTAAAGTTTTCAAAAGACATGTATTGCTTATATAGGAAAGCAATTATGTGTGTGTGTGTGTTTTCCAAACTAGCCTTGATAA